GACCACTACGATGCTGACCTTTAGAGGATGTTGACGGCTGGGCGGAGTCCTTGTTGCCGTTGGTGATGCTGTTAACCTCCTCTTGGTTAGTCTGAGGGGGTGGAGCCTTATCTGGGGCCTCACCTACTACCTCGAATTCCACATCCCGCTCTAGGTCCTCACTGCCAATAAGGAGAGACGCACACACTTTTCACCTTTGGTCCCTTAGAGAGGCCGACTGTAAACTGTGAATTTCATTCATGCGTTCATGCACACAGGTACATACACGTGCAGGACATTAATGAGGAGTGTGTAGTCTTGGAGGAAGTCGTCAGCTTGGAGCCGGCTGCCGTTACGGATCCCAAAATCAGAAAGAAATTTGCTGTTGTTGGCTGTGAAGAGAAAGAATAAGTATAAATGTAAGGAGAACGCATTCTTGAACCTATAAAGACAGTAAATAACACAATTTCATAATTTAACTACCAACTACTAACTAACTGTTAGTAGTTAAATTAATTCCTACTATAAAAAAGTTATTATACTCCTTTCAAACACTGTATCAGTTTTATCATTAAAGCTGTTACAAATTAAAACGGAGATCCAGCCGACTAACTGAGGCGTTTCTGTTTTTGCCCTGGAATGACTTTTACCTACAGACATCCTGACAAATGCTATTAGAGCGCCCTCTTCTGTCCATACGGACACTTTCCACTTGCACTAAATGAAAAACAACTCCCATCTATATCTCTATAGGCAGATATTATCTTTAGCATCATTGTCTGGTACGTTTTATTTTGCACTCCTCTCTTGTGGGTAAATGATCTTACTCTTGCCTGTCCCTCTTCTTTTGGTCTGTCCATCCAGTCTTTCCTTTTTACCATCTCTCTCTAGATCTCCTTTAAGATGTGATTACAAACATCACTTTCATCTTTTCTTCTCTGCCTTGCCTTTTCCTCTATCCTCTAAAAGCCCCCGGTCAAAGCTTAAAGTCTTACAACCCCCCCGCCCCCTTCTTCCTTACCCTCCGTCTCTCCTTCCTCTGAGGAAATGAGGATGGTTCCCTTTCCATCTTCTATCTGAACGTCTGGAGCCACCATACCAAACCTCTCCTTCACAATCTGCACAAAGACAAGGAACACAAAGTAAAAATAAATAAAACAACATCCAGTCATGAAAAAAATGACATTTTTGTGACGCTTTACAATCCCATGTAAAAATAAATACATCCTTACTGCTTTCATAGGAATTACAGTATAGTAGCAGCCAGGCGCTGATAATCATATGCACTTGATTAACTGATTATTAAAAGCAGTGTTTACTGAGCAGTAATACCCTCTCACTACCACATATATGAGCTCCAGTTCAGGAAGAAAAATGTGAGTCTTGCTCAACAGTTGATCGTTTTAAGATATCACAAAGACATGTCACATTCCATACGTCATATTTCTATGGGCCAGTGAATTAAGGTACTGGAGCTCTTTAGTTAGAGGCTTTTCACCCATTACCTACAAATGCACTTAACCTGTTAGACGTAATTGAACTGACTCTAATCAGACTTCTGGGACCAAAAACTTTAAGCACCGGGAAAGATTCATCAGTGGGACAAGGTGTAATCTGTCACGGCAAGATTTTACGATTCTACAAAAGCATAAACTGACACAGTCGATACTGGAAACTGGTGCAGTCTGAACAAGGCAAAGGAAAGGTGTCTGACAAGATAAGCGATGCTCAGGAATTTTACCAATTAATGACATCGTCTTCAGTACTGGACGTGCTGTAACATTACCTTGTCTTGCAGAGTGAGCACCATGGTTTTGTGCACGTTGAGTTTGACCGTGACTTCAGGTTTGCTGGCGCAGACGTAGCAGTTAGCGCTGGGCGGGTCAAGCACGCAGGGGACCAGCAGCTTCTTCCTGAGATTGGGGCACTTGTTCAGGAAGATCTGATGCAAGAAAAAATAAGATGGACATAAAAAGAGGCTTATTATAGGAGCCGTATTCTAGTTATGACGAACTCTGGTGTAGTGGCT